CATTACTCGCCCTGGGCCATTTAAGGTCTACTATCAGTCCTTAAATCAGCTTAAGCGCAAAAGTGATTATCTTTTAGCAAATACGACCACTGTGCTACAAAAAACTAATTTATTATTGACCAATAAATGGTGGGATGGTAAGAAAGATAAAAATCATACACGTAATACTTAAAAGTATTCAAAGCAAATTAAATTTATCCTTAAAAAGTGCATAACTTGGTTTTGGATTGATTTCCTTTGCTTTTTTCAAAAATTATTTTGAAGTCATCTAGTTTTAGGACTGCGTTAGAATTCAATAATTTAGTATGTTTTACTGAATGAATTAAACTATTCATCGAAGGTATGAAGACCAAGATGGTGTGCCCTCAAAGGAGCACAGCACACTACATCGAAATAGGCACGGTAAAAATTGAAAAAGGGAAAGCGTGATAAGAGGATATATAAAATGTGAATAGCATAGGGCAGAAGGGGAGATACCACAACTGTTTAACACACGTTTGGTCAAAGGATCAGCTTCACCTTTGACGAGTTATTGAATGGTGCTAAGAATGGCGAGACTCACTGATGATGCCGACTACGATGCAGGCGAAACGTCTGGGAATGTACCACGTCCACGGTCCTACTCTGGAAATGATGATGCATACAATGTTCCGAACAAGGTGTGTTCCTCTAATTCTTCCAACCTATATGACCAAGTCGCGAAAACAAGGTCAAACAATTTCTAAACTATTCATGATTTCTTTGAGATCCTAAGAAGTTAGAAGCAGTTACAGGAATTTATCCGATATTTACTCGAGGTCCCTATGCCCTAAGCAATATACGATGTAACTATTAGTATTAAAAATGAAATTAATTTCTTATAATTTGCGTAGTATTAAGAGGAATCTTGACGCTAAAGTGGCATTCAGTATGCGCCCATGCGTTTCAAAATGCTGTTTGCTTCCAGAGTGGAGCGCAGCTTTGATTCCACCTTAGTCTCATAGACATTTTAGCAATTGAGGTACGAAAAATGGGACCGTTAAGCAGAAGAACCTCATGCAACTTTGACTTTTAGTTAACCTTCGAAGCAATGTGATTGCCTTGAATTATCCGTTTTCATTAATACAATTTTACCGAGGAGCAATGTACTGTTTAAAAGCTGGTAATCTAGTTCAGTTTTTGCGTCCAACCCCTTAACATTAGAAACGCTTCCCAATAACTCAACTAATATTTATAATCAGCATCAACCTTAGATCGACACTCTTAATTAAAACTAGTTGCTCCATATGAACTAACTGTTAAGGGAGGAATTAATGAAAATAGCTGTATGACCTCTACTCAAATACCTGTAATCGGTTTTGCTGCTGCCGTAACATGGTACGGAGGGCCCTAGCACCCTGACGTATTCTGCTAAATCGAAGCGATCTCTCTGCCTGCGCCCGTGCACTGGCGGCAGCAATTAGCCCAGCCATTCGTTTTTCGTAGTTGGCTTGACGAGAAAACTCTTGATGCAATTTTGAAAGTGCCTCGGTTGGTGGTTCTAGACAATTCGGGAGACCGGTCCCAGTTAATGGGGCCCACCAGGCAAGGGAGTAGGGTTTGGACCGCCATATGACATAGGCGGCCTTTTTTTTGCAATTGTAAGAGACGGGTGATGCACTAGATTTAGCGACATTCGAAATTGAACTTCTACGACAAATAGATGCAATAGGCTGAGAAGGGTTATCCCCAACCATCGAGCCTAAGCAGGAGATGGAAGACTGGGACATCCAGCTTCTGGTAGGATATGTGGTACTGATGCTGAGTGGAGTCGGATGGTTAGAAATTTGGTCTAAGCAGGAAAGAACATTTAAGCCGCGTGAATATATTGAAGGAACGTATATGGGCAAAGGATTTGTTAAGCCATTTTGAAGGGAGCTAGAA